CGCGGTCCGCTAACTCGTCTGGATTTCGCTAATGCAACGCACTTAATTTATAGCCGGCCGGATGGTCCTCTCCGGTGCTGCAGGGCTGAGACCGTTCGCGCCTGCCTGCCTGCCTGCCTGCCTGCCTGCCTGTGTGCACCAGTTTATCCTCACCTTCGTCCCCGGAGGACTCGTTGACGTAACGGAGACAGAGAGTAAGCGAGATCGTGAACGACACGTTACGGAACGGACGCTGACACGGATGGAAGACAGAGAGGGAATAAGAGGGTGCGAGCGTGGAACGTGGGACGACAGAGGGACATTTAGAGACTGATGGCGCAAACCTTTTAGGCAAACTAATGCACCGAACCTGTTACATCAGAGAGGCTACTCGCGCACTACTCTGTCCCTCTTCTAACCCTTTCGCGTTTCCTGCGCGCTCGCGTACCTACCAACTGGATTCATTATGGGAAACGTGCCTTATGCAGTACCGGCCTCTTCCTTCAGCCCCGAAATTATCGCACTCTTGATGACAAGATAACGAGAGAACTTAAACAGTGATTAAAATTAATGTACGCATTAATTGTCTATACAGTTTCTTTTACAGTCCACTGATAATTATTTATTTAATTTTCGCTTTGTTTTATGGGTCTTACAACCCCGTATATAAATTAATAAGTAACTGTACTTAATTATACACGATTATAATGAATGTTAAATTATTACTTTAAAATGAAAACGTTTTGATTATACGAGAGACCGTGAATAAGCTCGTGTAATTATCTACACGACCTCCTCCACATCTTTTAGAGCGTGTGCACGTAATTACTGAAGGGAGCTGGCAATTATTAATTTAAGCATTACTCTACAAACCTATTTGCCTACGTTGACAAATATGTGAATATTACTGATTAATTAACGCATTGTCAACAAAATATTATCGTAGAGAAGAAGACATTTAATAAAGGAGCACGCTGTAAATCTTGAATCACGTTTAAACGTGATTAAGGGTGTATTGGCTATATAGTCAATCCTAAAAGTTTATGTACCTTAGAAAAATTCCATTTCCTATAATCAAAAAGAAATCAGACGACGGAGGAACA